GAAATTCTCATCCAAGCAGTTTTACTCAGAATGTTGACTAAAGTCAAATTTAGACTTAAACTTTAAAGTTAAAATGCCTAACCGCGCAGACTCACACTGAAAATTTGGGAGTCATGCTGATTATGCTACTAGCCTAAAATGACCCTTCCAGAACTAATGAGATTGTCAAGATTGGATTCAGATGTCATCTTAATGACCATTCAAGGTTCATAAGCTCCAAAAATACTAAAACTCGCACAATAACCAAACGAACGACCAGATGACCTAACTGTCAATCTCAACAAGTCATACATGACTTAGGATTACTACAGGAAAGCTCTAAACGACACACAAAAGGCAATCCACATAAATGACCAGGAGGGTCATTACATAGGCGGTAGAGGAGCCACATTATCATTATGGGCTCATCCGAACCCCTTTTGTTGGAAAACTATATTTTTTTACATGATTAAAATAAATTTTTAGGTATAGATTAGATGTCAAACCCTCTTCGACTACTTTGTGTGTCTATTCCTTTTTAGATTTTAAATTCTCTTACTGAAAGTTCTGATTCCGCTACTATACATAGGTATCCGAATAACCTCTCTTTGTAAAGATATAAATCATCTCTATCTTTGGTATGACTGATGTTATTGGCTTAGACTTTGATCTTCATCTTCAGTTATTATTAAATACAATTTATAATTAACTTGTTATAATAGTTACACCACTTATACGTTATTATGTATTAATAATTTAGCGATTAAATTCTTCTTTCTTTAGGTCATTTTTGGAAATGCTGAAAGTAAAAAATGAGTGTCACAAATCAATAACATAATAAGTTTGATAAAAAAAAATATCAACAACTAGAGAGATATCAATATCTACAATAAAAATTTTGATCATGATAAAGAAATTGAAAAATCAAAGTGAAACATATGCGCTTGAAAATAACATCTATTAGAAGGTAATATGTATATCATATCACATATTTACACCTAATAATATAACTGATGAGCTCATTTTATACTATGCATATAACTAAATTATATGGATACACTTTTCAAGTTTAGATGACATTGAATAATCAACTCATTTTATTTTTTTTTACCATTCTTTAAATTGAGCATGTAAGTCTTTTCACATAACATTTTATATTTATCATTATACACATATTTTAATATTATCTTTATCATATATTATTATAAGTGGGAAGATTCTAACCTTAAAGTTAAATTATCATTTTATCCTTTATTTAAATATTTTTTCTATTTTTTAAAATGTAAAAGTATTTTTAATGAATAATTAGATAATAAATTTTAAAGTAATAAAGATATAATGAAAGATAAATAGTCATTCAAACAAATGAAGTTCAAACATTTCAAAACATCTCTTATGTAATTTTAAGTTAAAAAATTTGAAGAGTTCCATTGATAAAATTATATTCATGATTTTTTAACAAAATACATTATTTTGATGTCTTCTCATGACAATAGCATGTGAATTGATTTATCACACAAAATTCTTTTTCAAAATTTTCATGTTTCTTTTGATCAATAAATTTTAGACATATATGTTTATAGATAGAACTAATATTATATGTTTTGTTTCATTCTTTTCATCGAAAATTTATGTTTTTAACGCAACATGTGATAAATAATTCTAGAGAGTTTTTCATTTGGACAAAAAGTCTGCTCAACATTCATGAGGTAAAACAAATCTACTTGTGTGAGAAAGAACATGTATGTTGTTTCGTTAATTTGTTGACGGTAAATTCTTAGAGAATATAGCATCTTAATTAGAATTTAATCATTTCAGTGCATTCGATGCATTCTTCAAGAAGGTTAAAGGCGTCATGGACATTTATTTGTTGTTTGGTAAGTATTATTTTTCATTTCAATGTTACATATTTTTACTTAGTTCACTGTTTGTTACATTCAATTTTTCAGTTGAAGGAAGGTAAATTGGCTACTTTCTTGAATAATGGCAATGAAAAAGAAAATAAAAATTTTTCATTTACATGTCCGATGTACAAATCTTCTTTTAAAGATTATGTTTGTTATAACAAGTTGATTATCATCTAGTGAACGCTCTAGGTTATTGGATAAGAGAATTGAATAATTCATGTAATTAGTTTTTTCTCATAATTAAATCTACAAAAATTAGCATGCATTATATTTAATGTTTTTTTTTTAGAATTTATAAATGATTTACTACTTGTATGAAAATAAAATCTTGGTGTGATTTCATATTTATAAATAAATACCCTAATAACGAAAGACAAGGAAGCGTTGAAGAAGAAAAACAGTATTACTAAATATTTTTATATTCTGCAACTTTATGTTTTTATTGATTAAATTTAGAACTTATTTTATTTCATTTATTCTATCTAGAAAAAAAAAGTATTTGGATAAAAATCTCATAGATTCTTCATACTTATTTTAAGGAGTATATGCTCCTTTTAATTTTTAAACATAAAACAATATTATTAATATTCTTTATACTTTTTTTTTAAAAAAAATGTGTATTGACTTATAAAAGTAAAGAGCGGAGGGCTAGTCCAGAAATTATTATTATTTTTATTATAAGTGAGAAGATTTTATTTTTTAAATAGGATTATGATTCTATCCTTTTACTATTTAAATATTATTAAAGAAATAATTAATAAAATATTACTTAAATAATACTTATATGGTATTAATCCGTTACGTTTCTAGGTAGGATTAACTAAAGAAATGTTTAATTTATTTTTTATTCTAAAATAGAGTGCGGCAGATGAAGTGTTTCGTAACAACAAAAGACAGTAAATTATATTCAAAATATCCTATAACATTAAAGAACAAAAATGTCCTTTGAATTACCATACATCTTAATATGACACATATTTAGATTTTAGTAAGAAACTTTACATATTCCCAACTTTAAACAATCTAATTCTCATAGTCGTTATGTATACCATATTGTTCAACACAATTACTTTTTATTGATGCATACGCTTTGTTATTCTAATTTATAATTATTGATGGATAATTGTTGGTGAATGTAATTGTTCATCTCATATGCAATAAAAAAAGAGATAGATCTGTTTATGATTTTGTTAGTTATTGAGGAAGTTCCTCTATTCTTATAAACTAGAACTATTTCTCTCTTTAATTTTTGTTATTTAAAAGTTTTAGAATTTATTAGCTATTTTATTGTTTTTAGTCTACTCTATTTCATTTTATTTTCGAATTCATTAGCTATTTTGGTGTTACACTCTTTCTCTTTTGATTACTTAATTTTATGAATAACTGTTTATATATATTGTAACTGTATTTAAATAATTTACGAATATTTATACTAAGTAGCGTGCAATACAAATATATTTTCTATTCTCAAATTCAATTTTTTAAGTATGCATACATTTTGTAGTAATTACAAGGGACAAACGTGCAACGCGCGTTTTTAAAATCTAGTATATATATAGGGAAGATGTTATGTTTAAAGTTAAATAACGAAAATATCCTTCATTTATTTTTTAATTAAAATCATTTAAAATAAAATCAACAATCACAATTAAAATCATTTTCTACTTCTTAATGACTTTAATTGTTAATTATTATTATTATAATTAGATAATAAAACTCAACAGTCGAGTCCTTTGTGTACTAAAATACACCTCCTTTCTCCAATTCTCATCCCTTACAACAAGTCTTCAATTCATCATTTACAAATGATAATGAAAAGTTGGAATTTACTCATGATCCATTACCACTTTCTTTCAATAAATATGGGATGTACTCTTCATTAAATAACTCATGTGTGACGTGCTCTTATTATCTCTCCTTTTCATCAATGATATACACACTATTGGTATTTTATGGACATAGCTATCTTGCCAATTTGAAGGTAAAATTAAGATTGTGAAGAGGAACACAAATTTTGCAACATCACTGTGAAGTTTTAAAGACTGATTTTTTCAAATAGCATGAATACTGTATGAAAGGTTGAAGTCATCACGACTTATGAACCAAGACGTGCATACTTTGGCATGATTTTAAAAATTCGATCCAAAGAAATGAATATTCATTAATTCCTTTACAAAAATAAAATCAATACCAAGATTTTTTTATGATTGTTAATAGATTTCCTAATTCACTTTGCTTTCAATTGTTAAACAGTGTCGAGAACCATTGGCAAGCGGAAAAAGAAAAAAAAAAGGGGGGGGGGGGTAATTTGAAGTCCAAATTTTGGTTGTAATTTTACTTTGCTTTTCTGTTTGGTCTTTCTTGAATTGTCTCTTCTTAAAAAGTGTGACACTTTTCTATGTTCTAAAAAAATATTTTTATCTTTTTTCTCATTCTAAAATGAAATTGAACTGTGAAGTAACAAAAAACTTTTTAATTTTATTGAATAAGAATTTAATGATTTTATTTAATTTGTTTGAAATTTAATCATCAAACTTGAGGAGACATACATGCCTACATATTTGATTAATGTGAGAATTAGGTTCGTGTAGTTTCTCTAAATTTAATAGTATCTTTTTTTATCTAATTCCCTTGATATCTTAATATTATATGTTTTTTATAATCATAACCTCCAAATGTTTAGTTTGTAACTTTCTTTTGGTATTTCTGCGTTTTTATCTATATAAATTCATATTTTTTTTTGTTTTATGAGACCCGTCAAGATTATCCTTTGTCATTATATTATCAAAGTAGTAAAGTACTTATATTATTACTAATAATATATTTTCATATATACTTAATCGTTATAATGGATCTATAAAAACTTGCATGGATCACACGTACACATTTAAAAACTAGTACGTATACACCAGACATATATAACACTTATTAGAGATATGTTTGATTATCTATATTGTCATAAAAAAAATTATTACCAATGAAATTCCGATAAAGACAATATTAAGAAATAACAGATAATTTTTACAGGCCATAGAAGGTGGAAAATATAACTGAATTTGCTTGTTGCTGCATCAATCCTGTTTCTCAAATTATTGAGTTAAAAGCTTCGTTAATTCAGCTCTGATCTTGTTTAGCTGCACCACAACCTCTCTCATGTTTATCCTTTCCTCTGCCAACTCTTTCAAACACAGGAATGCAACATTTATTATCAAAACCTTTGATTTGGCTTTGGTTTTCATCAATTGTATCACAGTGCACAATGGGCACTGTATAATCATGATGAAGATGCTCCATGGCTAGTGCAACATCGATCATTATATTATTGAGTCTTTCAACCAGGCTCAAGCAATTTTCATCAGAGTATAATCTTTTGTCTAAGCTTCCATTAGGCATGTACTCCAGCACAATCGCAGTCGACACTATCTTGACCAAGTTTATGTGTCATACATTGCTCAAAATTTCACATTCTGAATCAAAATATCTTAAACCCCGTTGCCATTGTATATCAAAAACTTTGATTGCAAAGACAGCACCACCAGAAAATGTACCTTGGTAGACTGTACAGGAACTTCCACTTCCTACTAGCTTGGACTGACTGAAATTTCCTGTAGCTTGGAGAAGCTCATAATTAGTGATTCTCTGATGTGCAATTCTAGGTGGGTAATCCGATTCATTGTTTCCAGTCACGGGTTTTTTTCTTGACCAAATCATCCATGTGAAAAACAACGCGACCAATATCAGAAATGTTACAGCAACAGGTACTGTTGTTCTAAGGATGATGGACTTTTTCCTTGTTGTCTTTCTGCCTTCAGCTGGATATAAAGGAATATATAAGTCAGGTGCTCCACAAAGTCTTGGATTTCCCATCAAGAAGCGGTAACTGACATTTGCAAATACCCCTTTCTTTGGAACTTCTCCTTGCAAGTTGTTAAAAGAATGATTGAGATACCAATGAATTCAAGAAGTCAAGTTGTGTGACTCCAGGCTTGTTTTCCAACAGATTATTTTGCAGATTTAGAGTTATAAGGTCCACCAGGTTACCTAACATCATGGGAATCAGTCCGGTAAAACTATCGTTTGCAACTTCAAGATTTTCAAGCTTTGAAGCATTGCATATTGCAGAGGGTAGATCTCCACTGAATTGGTTGTGTGAAAGGAAAATCTCCTGCAAGTTAGGTAGCCAAGTGCCAAGATCATATGGAAGATGTCCATTTAAGTAATTATGTCTGGCTTTGAGGATTTGAAGCGACGAAATATTGAATAAGCTTGATGGAATGGCACCAGAAATTTGATTATATTCAAAACTCAAACCAGGCCAGTTCATGCAACTTACCAAACTCACTTGGAATATTTCCTTGCAGATCATTTTCAGTGAAGAAGAGATGAGTGATCTTCGATGCATTCCCCCTGATCCTGTTGCTGTCCAGAAAGAGATGTTCAAGGATAGGAAGATAATTACCCAAATTACTTGGAAGTTCCCCTGATAAGGCATTTATGGAAAGATCTACAATTTGTAATCTTGAAATATTGAATATTGAAGCAGGTACCAAACCAGTGAAGTGATTGCCACGAAATCGAAAGGAGCCTCAAATTGGTAAGATCACCAATTTCATCAGGTATTTCACCTTCCAAATCATTTTCATGCAGATAAAAATATTCCAGGTTTTGATAAGTTCCCTAATAAAGATGGAATCTTTCCTGTCAGATTATTGTCGTTGAGACGCAAAATTCTACGTTGACTTAAAAGGCCAAGTTCTTGAGGTATGCTTCCTTTGATCATGTTATCTGATAAATGAAGTTGTTGCAGTAAACGACAACGGCTTATATTCAGAGGAATGGTTCCATCAAGAGAATTCCCAGTAACATTAAGAAGTTTCAGCTTTTGCAAGAAGCCTAATTCACTTGGTAAATTGCCATTCAAGTCATTGCTACTAAGGTCAAGAAGAGCAAGTTGAGTCAAGTTAGCAATTTCTGAAGAAACTCTGCCTTGAATGTCCAAATTAGGAAGTTGCAAAGCTACAACTCTCTGGTGCAAGCATGAAACTACATACCAGCTGTAGTAGTGTGTGTCTGAGCTCCAATTTGTGGACAAAATGTTGTGAGGTTCCAATCGAAGGCTCGATTTAAATGCCATCAAAGCAGCATAGTCACTGATGAAGTTTGTATGTTTAGCTAAACAAAGTAAATAAAAGAAGAACAAAAGTGATAGAAACTCAATCAGACTGTTCATGATTAGTGATTTGGGACTCTTACTCTCACAAAGTGAAGTGTTTAGTTGTAGAAATTGTTTTGATCAATCTGTAACATACTAGGGTAGTGGTGGTTGGAAGAATTTAATTCCGTTTTACGTTGGACTTACTCCACCACAAAAGTTAAAGGCTTATCAAGTTAGAATCATTCAAACTTCCCTACCAGGGGCGGACTCACGTGTTGTTCAGGGTGTTCACCCCTCGATAAAACAATACAAGGTGAATTTTCTGGAATTGTATTGATATATATATTTTGAACACCCTAATCACCAATGGATGAGACAGCTCAGTGGTAGCTGACCTCAAAGTTACGCGCGACGTCCAAGGACTGAATCCCTGGATTGGCGTTTTATTTTTTACATTTTTTTGTTTCAGTTTTTTTTTTCCAGTTAAATGTTTATTCTTTTATTTTCCGAACCTTCTCAACGAAAATCCTAGGTCCGCCACTGTTCCCTACACGCGCAGAGCTAGACATTTGGAGTGCTAAATACTAGATTACTTGTGGAAAGGCATATCAATATATTTACCAACAAATTGAAAAAATAAAAAGACAAGGAAAGGTTACATGAAGTTTATAGATACATAACCAAAGCTTGCGGTGGAGTGATAATCATATATCCTTAACTAGAGAATTGTCAAATCTAAATAAAATCAGACACTAGGTAAGAAATTAAAAAAAAAATAGCTTTTGAAATTTTTGTGCATGTTTTGTCCGGTCGGAATATTGGCACGTCGAAAACTTGTTTTATTTATTTTTAAAAAAACTGGTGAATATAATCTGCATATTTCACAAACAAATAGGTATTTCAATTTCTTTTAAAATTGGTGAAATAAATGACTTAACATGGAGTCTAAAATAAAAAGAATTTCAAAATTTGTGTTGTTAGACATGCCATAATTTTTGAAAATTAAACATTTGTGTTAATTCAGAACAAATTAAAACGAAAATTACGCTATAAGAAATTCAAAGTGTAGGGTATATTATATCATGGAGAAAAGAGGTAAATGGATTCGAAAATCAAAGATTTGACCTGTTAACTACTTGTTGACTATGACTCTGATTTAGATTGAATTAACTATATTCAAGCTGAGAGATTCAAATGGACAATAGTTGACAGCACACAAGATTACTGTATTGTCTGCTCCAATCTCTTTTTCTTTTGTTGGGAATTATACCTGTGCTCTTTTTGTTTTGGATTAAAAGCATTTGAAAGTATCTTACAAAACCTTAAATCCTAATCCCTATACTAATTCCACCTATTGCACTTAGATTGTGAAACACTGAACTAGTACAATGAGGCAACTATAACAAGTCATATTTATTTGTATACCTGATTTACAGAAATGGCTAATATTACAAGGTTGGATCAGCCGATTTTCCTATAGAGAAAAATTAATGAACAATTTTATGTACTAGAATACGTATACAACCTTCACTCCTCAAAAAACCTGCTGTTTATTCCTGTTCTATATAATTGCAAACCAGAAGATGTCGAGACAGTAATGTTGGTGTTTGCAGGTGCAAAAAGGACATCACCTTCATGGATAATCTCGTCTGATGATGAGGTTAATGTTCCCTCTCCCTCCACGACCATAAAAATGGATGGACCGGGAATAGATGGAAATTCAGTAGTTGATTGTTCGGGAAGAATACAACGATCAACTTCAAATTCATCAAAAGGAGGAATGTACCTCATAACATGAGGATTTACTGCGGTGCCCTGCAGAATTTCAGGAAAACCCTGCAACAAGAACAGATGTAATTTAAATATAAACAGAAACCCGATATCATGTTAATTGCACTTAAAGGGAATCTTGCCAAATATCAGCCTACTATGCATTTTCTCCTCCTTTTTTACGGTGGTAGTTCGGACCAGGTTACGTTCTGATGATTGTTGAACAAGTTCCAGGAGCATTACTAGTTTAGGAATGTACATATCAATTAAACAGACAAGTAACTTAAACAACTTAAAATACTTTTGATGGAAATTTGACCGTTGAAAGAAGCTCAAATTTAACAATCATAATCCTAAATGTCCGAACAATTCTTTGTCAATAACTTAATGTCAGAATAATGCAACTCTTTCCTAGTCTATTCAACGTCCAATTTTTTGAAGCACATATCAAGGTTGCAGTTATATTCAGACTCCAATCATGAAATTTAGTTTTGAACAAGGGAAAAGGTTCACATTCGTCTTTGTACCATTCGAAATAGTTCAATATGCCTTAATTTTCACTTCTGGTCCATTCATACCCTTGTCAGTAACAAATATTTTTGAGTAAAAAGATCAAATTTTACCCTTGAACTTTTGATTATAGATTTTTTTTTAAAAAAAAATCAGGTTGGAGCTTCATTAGGTGTCAAGGGCAAAAGAGAACTTTCCTGACGGCATGGATAATGTTAGACCAAAAGTCTAATTGAGGGAAAACTTGATCAATTTCAAATAGTACAGGGACAAATTTGACCATTCTTTTTGAAGAATAACCCTAATGGTGTCTATAACAGTACCTGTCTGTAAGTGAGCATTGAGCATAGTGTTTTAACATCTCGGTGTTTTGGAGTTAGGCCAGCGCGAACAACGTTGTCCGATGTTGCCATGCATTCAATACAATCACCATATAAATAAGCATGAGGTTCATTTGCTCCTAAATATAAGGCTTCACCAGGATTGAGTTTCACATAATTTAACAAGAATGCAGCCAAGACACCAATATCAGCTGGATACTGCTTCTCAAGTCTAAGCACCACTTGTTCTTTCTCTGTCAGCTCCCTTGCCTACATTAAGGATGAAATATCATAAATAAATGACAATGACCAAGATAGGAATAAGTGCAGTTCACCCCATCACGCTTCACTTTCCTGATTTTGACATCGGTTTCTAGACATTTCATTTCATACATAGTGAAAAAGAAATCAAAGGAAAACCAAATAATCAAGTAGGAATAATATAATAAGCAATTCAGACACCATCACACCAACAAGATTATCTCCTCAATGTAATTGAACAAGAATACGACTAGATGTAATTTATTGGTTACCCAAATTCAAATTTCAGCTAGCCTTTTTCATAGTTGCTGTGGAAATGAAGGAGTGGTTCTCTTTGTTTTCTTGTGGGGCATTAAAGAGGGCAAAAATAGCTCAGATGTTATTTTTTTGATGAACTAGATTAGATGTTGTATTAAAAATACATAATTCACATCTTCAAAGAATCAAAGTAATGTTATCTTTATACCACCACCAGTATCCCATCCATTCAAATATATTACAAAACTGATAAAATGAACATCCCAAAGATTGGAACATAACTAAAGCCAGCTCATAAACGTCAATTCATCATAGTCGATTCTAACTCAACTCTTGGGAAAATGTTCTTTTTTTTCTACTTTTTTGCTGTTGTTTCTCGATCTTCCTTTTTATTAGAGTAGAATTATTTTAAGCTGTTTCTACACTCTACTTTTAGCCTCACTCCTGTCTTCCTTGATCATGTTTCTTCACAAAGATACAAGGAAAGAACTCTTAATCTTCACCACAGAGGAAGACTCAGCTTTGATATCTTTTCTACTCCTGTCTATCTTTTCCTTCTTTTTGATGCTTAATCCCCATTTCATTCTATAGAAATTTGGTTTATACATCATGTAGGTTCCTAAAAATGCATTACAAGAGATGCTCATGTCGTTGAATCATGAATCAATATTTTAATTTGGCATCCAATTTCCTGAAAGCATCAATTGAAAGGAGAAGTGCCTTTTTGAGAGAAAATACACTAGTTAGGGATGAACTAAAAAATCTGCTAAGATGGAAATTGAACTGATAGATAATATATTTTTGATGATACTCTCAAATTCACTTGTTTCAGAACCAAACTCTTCATGCAAGTATCCGTGTGTTTAGATATGAGTAGGAAAAGGGAGTTTTTAGATGAAAAAATGTTTACCAAGACAATGAAGAGCATAGTTTACCAAAACCATAAAGAATTACTCCATATGAACACATACCCACCATGCTTTAGTACAAGAAGGAGACTTACAACAAGTACTTGGATAAACTAACACATTTTAACTTCTATCTGATCAAGGACTACTTTGACTTTACCTGATTTTTAACGTGTAGGCGACTAATCAGCTTGGCTATCACTTCAGCAACCACATCCTTGTTTGCTGACATCAGCTCAGTAAATACTGATTGTAGGACGAATTTACCTTTTTCCTTCCCATCATCCTCGTTCAATTCCAATACCTGCTCTGTGTGTGCTGTACCGACCAATTCAACAATCTCTGGCACAGTTTGAACAATCAACTTAAGCTCCTACAAAAATTGCACAAGTAAATGTTAAATCACATTGAACTCTTAAGTTCATTTTTTATCTCAGGCTAAGAGGCACATTTTCGAGTGAATCAACCACCTAAATATCTTACACCATTCTTCTGCACGCATTGTTATGTTTACACTACGATAAGCTCGAGATCCAGGATAAGCTCCTTTAGGCTTTCCGTCTAACAAAATATGGATGGCAAAACCTAAAGCGGATGTGAATATGCCAGTTTTTAAACACAAGAACAAGCAGTAAGGTTCAAGTAGCTTCTAACCTCCTTTTCCAGATATTATATATTCTTTTTCCTTCTGTTTGTTGGAGGAGAACACTATAAGCTCTCGTAATTATTGTTCAAAAGAGAAAAAACAGCAAATATAACAAACAAAAACAGAATTTCCAGTTAAACAACTCCATTAACTTCCGTTGTTCTTTAAATCAGACAAGTCTACGAACATACTAGCAACCAGACCAGGTGGGCTATTAATCTACCACAACGAAGCACCTCTATGCAACCCAATCATTACATTAATCAACCAAAACAAGTAGCTTAACTCTATTTTAAGGGGATTGTAAATTTATGGGCACCTCAAATGTCCTGGATTACGAAGCATAACATAATTCAAAAACAATAACTAGACCTAAGAAACCACATAGATGTTTGAGTACCT